ATTCGCTGGCATTGTTGCAAAAATTTTGACATTTCGTTCGTTTGGTACGATATTTGCCAAATGACATTATATTGTTTATATTACTTTTAGGATACATTGAGCAAAAGCCTTTTCGATTAATAATAAATTCAATAGTTGGTTTATTTAATAACAATAAAAATGAGTGCTGGTACAGAATTGAACGATAAAGTACTTGTGACAAAAAATGCATTAATAGCCGCGGTTAGCGATAATGTTTGGGCGAAGTATACGAGCAATATGAAAATGTGGTTCCGTCACAAATGGACAAAGGAAGAATTCGACACAGAATCAAGAAAATTTTTCACACCTGAACAAATGCATTTGCACAATCGATTTTTTTTAGCAATGCTTAATAAAATGGATGCTTATCAAATGCCACCACCTCCGCCGCCGTCAATGGGCACACAGCAGCAACAACAAACTGGTGCCAATACATCGACTTCAAGTAGTAGTAGCAAGAGTCGTAAACGAAAACGAAGTTCCCGTGATCGTTTTGGTTTTGAACAACAAGATATTTTAGATTTCATTAAAACTAATAATACAGAAACTTTACGTCCGCCTTCGGGCACTGAAGCCAATTTACAAATGTGGCCAACACAGCGTTATTGTCGTCAGGAAATGTTCTTGCCTGATCCGGCATTTATGCTTGGCCGTTTAATGATTGGTGCATGGGAAGTTGGTCTTGTTAATGTTGATGACAACGTCGCCGAATGTATGATAAATGCTATACAAATATTTTTAAAGAATCTTCTTTCTGGTATTATAATGAAACTGAAGCATTATAAATCAACGGCAGATGGTTCCTTTTACTATGATGTGGGTGCAACGCTACGAGACCCATCATTGCGTAACACTGTTACTCGGCAAAAATTAGATGATACACCTTTGTACCTAGATAAGCGAATTACATCACCTAGTGTTACACAAAGACCGAACGATGATGTGGTATTCTTGGCAGCTTGTGAAGAAGTGTATGTGAATTCATTTCTTACTCAGTTTGTTTTATTTATAACAGATTTCCTTTTGTATTTTTAGTACACCTCCGAGAACTACATTGATTACGTTAAGAGAACTGCAAATTGCTTTAAAAGATCGCAATCTCATTGGCTCTCATTCAATATATTCAATAAATATGGAAAGAATCACACAAATGTTGCATTGAAAAACAAAAGAATGTTCGAGTGCTTGTGATTTGTATATGAAAATCCTTTCATTTGCATGTTGTTACTTTCGTGGCACATTGATTGGAATCTATAAAAATAGTTTTAAAATCTCTTTTCCTACTTCCTAATTGACTTCAGTTGAAAGTAGGCATAAACTAATTTATATTTTTTGTAATTTGAATCCATAAAAATTATGTTTAAATTGCTTTTCCCATTTTTTAACTGAATTCAGTTTAAAGTAGTCATAATCTAGTTTATATTTTGTTTTAATTTGAATCCATAAAAAAAGTTTTTAAATCACTTTTCCTACTTTTTAATAGACTTTAGTTAAAAGTACACATAATCTTAATTAAGTTTTAATTTTAGCTTTTAGTAATTGTTAAATCTAACATGTTTAGTTGGTAAATATTATGTTAAAAAAAAAATTGATGTCTAATTAAAAAATCAGTTGTAAATTTATTTCACGTGCATTTATTATAAAAATTAAGATTTTTTTAATAATTTATAGTTTCGAGAATATTGGCTTTTCTCCTTTTGTTAATTGAGCACTGGCCGCATTTACAAAGTCCTCAGATTGCAAATATAATTTATTCATTTCACGCTATTAACAAGAAGAATTTATTAATAAAATATGAATCTTATAAACTTCAGTAAAAACTTACGATTTGATCTAATCCATCTTGATTTGGTCTACTCTGTGAGTAAACTACATTTGCTTTTGTAGCTTGCACAGCTATCGGACTTTTCTCAGCTATATTGTTTGCCAATTCTAAAGCGCTCTGTAACATATGATCTTTGTCTGGAAATACTTTGCTAACGAGCCCACAACTGTTTGCTTCACTGCTCTCAAAACGTCTGCCTGTGTAACATAACTCACGCGCTAAGGATTGGCTGCCAATTGCCTTGGGAAAACGTTGTAAACTACCCACATCAGCAGCCATGCCAATGTCGACTTCTTTCACTTGGAAAAATGCATCCGTCGTGCAGTAACGTATATCGGCTGCAGTTATTAAATCAACGCCAGCGCCAATGCAAGCGGAATGGACTGCAACTATGACAGGTTTTGGACAATTTTCCAATGCACTCATGGATTCCTGCGAAAAAAATCAATTAGTATAATATATAAAACCACAATAATAAATAAACATACTTGATATAATTTAATTGTACGACCTAGAATCATTCCTTTACGTGCTACGTCATCTACATCACTCATTTCAGTTCCCAAACTAATCACATCAGTCAAATCAATGCCTAGAATATTTTTCAATTATAAAATCTTTCAACTTTTATATTTTTTGCTTGAGCTATACCTGCAGTAAAGTGTTTTCCAGCTCCAGATACGACGATTGCACGGCAATCGGGGTCGACAGCCAACTCGTCAAAGCAGTTCTTAATTTCACTTTAATTTAATTTAATTAGATTAAAAAAAATATTATTTGATATAAAGAAAAATTATTTTATTTACTGACATCCACATTTCCTTGCTGAAGGCATTGTACCGTTTGGGTCTGTGCAGCTCTACATGGAAGACAAATGGTTTCGGTGTAGTTATTTGCAAGGTCTTGAAACTATTGTGATGCTTCACCTTTGCTTGCGCGGCAGAGCATAAATTGCGTATAAGCACATTACTTGGCATAGCCATTTTTGTAACTGAAAGTAAACTCTAGTCTTTTTAATAATAATCCACAAATGAAGCAATAATTGTTTTTATAAAATCATTCGGATAATATATTTGAACTTTGGACTTCTCTATGTGTAACTAACACTTTTTAATATAATTAATAAACAACAATTGTTTAATAATTACATACCTAAGAGTCGAGCTGTTAACATTCTTCTCCTTTAACTTTAACAATGAAATATATTAATTTTTAAAAAATTTCAAAAAACTTATATCAATTGCAACCGGTAAACAATGTCTGTGTTGTACTGCGAGCTGCAACAGTTTAATTGTGGAATTTATTGATCGTATTTTTGGTACACAAAAGAAGTATACATACAAAACAAAACAATGGAACTTAATTTTATCTAAGATAAAATATTATACATTAATTTTTGTGTATATTGATCAGGTATGAAAATATTATTTCTTGTGAGAATATTTAAAAAATATTAAATTATTTGCAAAATATTTTTTATATTAACTTAAATTGGTAGAAAATTTCATTTTGTACGAAGAATTATTAGAGATTTGCGATTACAACCATGTACAAAGTCCGAAAAAGTGGAATCTAACCTTTTACACTTGTTATTGGAATTACATTAAGCAAGTAATATAGCAAAAATTAGTTATGCAAATAAGGAAAAGATATATTACAATACAATACGTTTATTATTATTCAATTTATTATTATAGATTATACATTTATTATTCAAATAAATGTCTTTTCTGTAATTTCGGTTTACTTCTACATCCTAATATCCTAATAGTTAACATCCTAATAGTTTCAGTTGTACACAAATCTTTCTTATATATATTTATTGATTAAATGCTAAGCCTTACTTCTATTATTATTTTGAGGCTAGTTGAGTCAGTGCACCTGAGCACTTTTACTCTCTATTAACTGCGAGGTTTCTTCAAAACCCCTCTTTGCGCCTTGACTAGACTATTTTTTATCACTTCATCAGACTAAGCAATAATTGTAAGGTTTACTATACACTTGATTACTAGAATAGGGTTTCAACATTGGACTCTTTACCGACCAATAGCTGAAATTTGTCGGTTTTATATTCCTGAGAAGTGGTTTTATTGGATTCAAGTCTTATTGCTTTCCACTGATAAATAACAAAAAATAGAATATATACAACAAATTAAAATCTATTATACTATATACTCACCATGAGTTGAGTAAATTTTTTCACCTAATTTTCATAATTTCCATATATTCCATATATTGTTGAGATAATGTACTGAAATATTAATAAGGAATAGCATTATGACGTTTGAGCTAACAATTGATTTTAACAGAACAAAAGGCATCAAGGTTTTTGATTGAATGTTCCCTACAATGAGACGTTTTTAACATCAAGTAGCAGTTAGGAACTCCGTCTTAAAAATCTTTTTTCTGATACAGAGAAAAAACCGTGCGGTAATAAAGAATATAACAACAGATTACTAGGGTCACAGTGTTAAGTTTTCCTGTAGGTTCGAAATTCTTTCATGTTCTTTTTATGACATTCTAAACAATCCATGAAGTAATTATATATAGTAATTATATAAATGAACTATGTACTGATTAATGAGAATTATTATTTGTCAATAGCTTTGTCAGAAAGAGTCTAATAATTATGTCTAGGTACTTAATTTTGTGTCAATCCATTCATTTTCTGGTTATTGTTATAAATCAATAGGTCGGAATTTTTTATATAGATTTAAATGGGACAACAGATTGATGTTGTCATAAGAAGTAGAGCTGCGTTTGTGGCACACATCAAGAATAGATGTATTCATATATGACAATTAGGTGTTTCATTACAAGAGAGCTATGTACCTATAATTAGCTATCATCGACTAAAAATGGGTTCAAAAATATAAGCATACGAACGTTATTTTCATAAATACATAGTTCTAATTTTCGTTCAAGGCAAATAACTGTTACTTTCGTGCTGGTAGCATTTTTGGTCTTGCATGGCCCGATATTTTCAACTAATAAAAGGGGAGAAGCCTTTTGATTTTATCGAATTAAAATAGGTTCGAAAATATAAGCATGAGATCGTGATTATCTTAAGTATCATTCATTTTCGTTAAAGTTAAATAAGTACTACTTCCATAGTGGTAGCATTTTAGATCTTGTATGTCCTGATAATCTACTTTATTTTTCAACTAACAAAAGGAGCAAAGCCTTCTAAAATTTTCGAATCAAAATGGGTTCGAAAAATAAGCATTAAGATGTGATTTTCATAAATATCATTCATTTTCGTTGAAGTCAAATAAATACTATTTCTGTAGTGGTAGTATTTTAGGTCCCGATATTCTTGTATGCATTTTTTATACAAACTATATAGTGTAAGTATATTATAAACTAGATAGTATAGTTGTATACCATATACTTTACGCAATTATATACTGCCGTAAAAATACTATTCAAGAAACAAATTGTACATTTACTTTTTCATATAAAAAAAAATTCAAATTACATACGGAAAAATGGATAAACACAAAAAATAATATGCTAATGCTAGATTTCCAGCTATGAGTCTATTTTGCCATACGCTAAGTGCTTTTTTCTTGTAGTTAATTGCTGTATTCGCCTTACAATATTTAATTAACTAACAAAATATCTAATAACTAAATTAGTTATAAACTAATTAGCATGTTACGCCTTAATAAATATGCATTAATTAATTAATTATAAAATATAAAATTTTGTATATTTTTATAATTGCTTCGGCTTCCAATCTATACTGGAAGTGGATTTCAAATAAAAAAAATTGTACTTTGGTAAACATACATTCCAGTACTCTTTCGTTATACTCTCGGAATTCCACATGTGGAACGTTCGGAATGTCAAATAGTTTTGCTGCTTTTTTCCATTGTCGTTGTCTGCGCATTTTTGCATCAATTAATTAGTAGAAAAGCAATTGTAAATAATTGAAAAAGTTTAAAAAACATAAAGAAAATTGTACGAAATAAGTTGAAATAAAATAAATTGCATGTTTTTTCAATGTGAAACACTTTAAATGGGTGTGCAATAACAAAACATGTACCTACAAAGTCTTTGCTGAATGGAGGTGCGAGGAGGCCGCAACCCAACCCAAAAAAAAAAAAGATTTTTCTTGAAGCTTCGTTCGTGAAAAACGCTTGAAAAGCAATTAATTCGTAACAGAAAACGTAGTGTAGCACTTTTTAGTTGAGAATAAAAAATTAATAACGAATTTAATTATGGATGCTGATAAAAACAGTGGGCAAGAGACCAAAGTCATTTATCACATTGACGATGAAACCACCCCCTACCTAGTGAAGATCCCCATTCCAAGTGCGCAAGTAACTCTAAAAGATTTTAAAATGGTGCTCAACAAACAAAATAACAACTACAAATACTTTTTCAAATCAATGGACGCAGATTTCGGTGTAGTGAAAGAGGAAATTGCAGATGATTCGACAATTTTGCCATGTTTTAATGGGCGTGTAGTATCTTGGCTTGTGTCCGCTGACGGTACAAATCAATCGGACAATTGCTCAGAAGTACCACCTAGCGAAATCGAGATTCGCAGCAATATACGCAATCAGCAACAGCCCAAAATGGTCGGTGGTAATATGGGTGGCATGGGTGGTGGAATTGTAGTTGGTGGAGGTGTTATTACAAATCAAATGATGCAACCACCGCTTACATATCAATCTGCATCGGTGCTTTCAAGCGATTTAGACTCGACAAGTCTATTCGGCACTGAATCTGAGATAACGCTTGACCGTGATATGACAGATTATAGCAGCGTGCAACGCTTGCAGGTACGCAAAAAACCGCAAAGACGCAAAAAACGAGCGCCTAGCATGTCACGCACATCGAGTTACTCCTCCATAACTGACTCTACAATGTCTCTCAATATAATAACTGTTTCAATAAATATGGAAGCAGTTAATTTTTTGGGCATTTCAATTGTTGGTCAATCGAATCGTGGCGGTGATGGTGGCATTTATGTCGGCAGTATTATGAAAGGTGGCGCTGTTGCTTTAGATGGACGAATTGAACCAGGCGATATGATACTACAAGTAAATGACGTAAATTTTGAAAACATGACAAACGATGAGGCTGTACGTGTGCTGAGAGAAGTTGTACAAAAACCAGGCCCAATCAAATTGGTGGTTGCCAAATGCTGGGATCCAAATCCTAAAGGTTATTTCACCATACCACGCACAGAGCCAGTACGACCTATCGATCCAGGTGCATGGGTTGCTCACACACAGGCTTTAACTTCACATGACAGTATTATACCCGATATACCGGAACCAATTAAAGAGCGTCTCGATCAAAATAATTTGGAAGAAATCGTTAAAGCAATGACGAAACCTGATAGCGGACTTGAAATACGTGATCGTATGTGGCTGAAAATTACCATACCAAATGCATTTATCGGAGCTGATGCTGTTAATTGGGTGCTAGAAAATGTAGAAGATGTACAGGATCGCAGAGAAGCAAGACGTATTGTATCGGCAATGTTAAGAAATAATTACATCAAACATACCGTCAACAAACTGACATTCTCAGAGCAATGCTATTATGTAGTTAACGAGGAACGCAATCCCAATTGTCGATCAAATCTAAGCCATGCCGATACGGAGAGTATTACTAGCGATATTGGTCCGCTGCCAAATCCCCCAATATATATGCCATACTCAGCCACATATAATCCCAGTCACGGCTATCAGCCAATACAATACGGTATCACAGAACGCCACATCTCATCCGGCTCAAGCAGTTCAGATGTGCTAACCAGTAAGGATATATCAGCATCGCAAAGCGACATCACATCGGTTATACATCAGACCAATCAAATGACCATCGCTCATGGCTCAAACAAATCTTCCGGTTCATCGAATCGTGGCACAAACGAACAGGATGGCCCCGTATTTAATTACGTATTGTAGAAATTGCAATGAAATTGTGTTTATTCTTTTTATATACAAGTATACATACACATATACATACATGATACATGAATTTGAATAAAGTTCAGAGAATTTAGTAATCACGATATATTGTATTAAAATAACAATTATTTTTTATTTAGATTAAAAATATATACGTACACAGTTAAAACAAACTTATTTTTTTGCAGATAATGAACGTCGCGGTGTGAGGGCTAGGTTGTTTGCTGTTTGTGGGAAGGCAGAAAAGAGGTTCGAGTTAGTTTACAAAATGATTTGATTTGATTATTTTATTATGCATTTTAAAGTTTAAATCAATTAAGCAAGATACCTTCAATTGCAATTATATATAATCTGTATATATAAGTGATAGCACTAAACAAAACAAAAAAAAAACGATTAGGTCAAAAAGTATTGATTGTTAGTTTTTTGATTATTCTTTTTTTTTTTTGTAAAAATATATTATGAATAATTATAACGTAAAAAACTTTAGTTAGCAACTATAAAATGTGGTGAGGATGACGAAAGTGCCTCTCACCTGCTCATAATAGATGACTTCACTTAAATCCATTCTTAAATCGAAGCTTCTCAGCATTAGATATCTTATGGTTTGTGAAATAGAATTGGAACCGTTGATTAAAAGTGAGGGTATTTGATATATAAATGATTGATTTTATATATTTATAATTATATATAGTATATGTGAAATAAAAAACAAGTGATTCGATATCCATTAGATGTACTAGTTAAACAAAAGTTCTTTAAAAACTATTATTAAAAAAATCTAAACAAATTTTCATTGTGAAACACTGAAACTATATTAATACCCTGAAATTATTGTTGTTGAAGAATTTCCTTCTAAATTTATTAAACTATTATGTATAAACCTACCAATTTCAGGTTTTCGTAATGAGATAAATATGGGCCCTTATTAGATAACGCCTTCATTTGCGAACTTAGAAACCTGATTAGTAGAGATTACTTTTAACAAGGATTTCTAACTTGTTTCTTTAATTAAATAAAATCTCTGTATTTAGATTCTATTTTTTTTTTTAAATTTAGATTAATTTTAAGAATTTCTCTCAAATATAAGCAAAGCTAAACAAAATTCTTAAGAACTTTATCGACAAATTTAATTTTATTATTTTGATTTATGTATATTTATAGCGCTTAAAGTCTTTATTAGATAATTTTTATTAACTGAGATAAGAGTATTTAAATTTTAGTTCGGTCAAAGCTAATTTATATACTTCCCCTTATATACAATGCCAACGAAATTCGTACCACATTATATACATATATATTTAATCTAACACGTGAACTGCTGTTGTCGACGGTATATTTAAATAAACATATATAATATTAACCAATTTCAGACCAATCTATGTCAAGTAATCATATCTATGTCGATCTGTATTTCATCATATTCTAATATACTTATTTATCATCAACTAACTTAAGTTGCTATTTGCGGTCTATATCCAGTGATCTTATCATGTTCAAATATATGTACTACGTATCAAAGTAAATCACTACCGATGATCAATTATATATATAATTATATATTGTGTGATATATATTAAGTGAAATATATAAAAGTTCTATCAGTTGCATAAATTAGCTTATTTTAATGTGAACATTTTAATAATGAACATAAATGAGCAGGTGCATAAATGTGTGACAGTGTGAATTTACTTTTATCGATTAATACGAAGACCTAATACATATATACACGGCACAGATGTTTTGTTAAAAAAAAACAATCGTAACATTTTATCAACGAACAATTATTGAATCTTGGAAACTGATATAAACTACTTATGAATGATTTTTCGATTATATTGAAGCTATCTAATACAAATTTTTCTTTCAGTAAATTACCATATCTTTATTGGTTATTATGTTGTTGGTTATTGCATATAAAGAATATAATTTCAAAGAATTATAAATTTAATCCTCTTATCGCTAACAAGAAACATATAATTGTTAAAAAATAATAATCGTATCATTTTATCAAGGAACAATTGTTTAATCTAGGAAACTGATAAAACTTATGAATAATTTTTAGACTATATTGAAGCTATCTAATACAATTTTCTTTTAGTGAATTACTATATTGGTTATTATATTGTTGGCTATTGCAAATAAAGAACATAATTTCAAAGAATTATAAATTTAATCCTCTTATCGCTACCGAAAAACATAAAATTGGTTAATTTATGGTGGCAAAATATTAGTATGAGAATATTATTTTCCCAACATTATGTCGATCAGTACGAATAAAGTGTAGTAGCGTGCTGTTTAATGGAATTTTTTAATAATTTTACAAGGATTCATGTATTTGTTTCAAATAATATGTAATATTAAAAATTATACAAAATATGTGAAATTTAAGATACTTAAAATCAGCCAGTGTTATTAACGTGTATGAATAAATCAAATTTAAGAATATTAATTTTTGAAAAAAAACAAGAACATTCATTTGTGCAAACTTTATATATATATAACAATTGTGTTTTATATTACATTTTAATTATTATAATTAAATAAGTCACGATTAATTTAAACTTCCTAAGCATTGCAAAATAAATTGCAAATTATTTTGCATAAATGCAACTCTGTGCGTTTTGATTTTTTGCTGATATTCAAATTTATCTGTGATGTTGTTTTTTTTTTAAAGTAAATAAATAAAATACAATCTTTTATAAATAAAATTGATGTAAAATGAATAGAAAAAAAATTAAAAAGAAAACTATAATAATAGAATATGAGTCTGATTCCGATAGTGAATCACACAATGTCAGTGAAAAAACGCGAGAACAGGTAATACTGAGTCATGTGCCCAATAATCCTATTGAAGAGGTTGCAACTACAGTGGAACGGGCACAACAGCAATCATTTTCTACTAATGTACACATAGAGCCAATGAATAGTAATACAACAAATTACAGTCAGAAGCAATTCCATTCCCTGCCAAATAATGTAAACAGAAAGACGTTTGAATCAACCGGAACTAGAAAAAGTCAGACGCAAATACAATCCTTACCAAGTGATGTAAATGGAAAGACGATTGAAACAGCCACAGCTAGTACAAGTCGTCAGGCGCAAATAAAATCAATATTAAGTGATGTATGTAGAAAGTGGACTGAGACAGCTGCAGCTAGTACAAGTCGTCAAGCGCAAATACAAACCATACCAAGTGATGTAAATAGAAAGACGATTGAAACAGCCAAAGCTAGTACAAGTCGTCAAGCGCAAATACACTCCATACCAAGTGATGTAAATGGAAAGACGATTGAAACAGCCACAGCTAGTACAAGTCGTCAGGCGCAAATACAATCAATATTAAGTGATGTATGTAGAAAGTGGACTGAGACAGCTGCAGCTAGTACAAGTCGTCAAGCGCAAATACAAACCATACCAAGTGATGTAAATAGAAAGACGATTGAGATAGCTGAAGCAAGTGCAAGTCGTCAGGCGCAAATACACTCCATACCAAGTGATGTAAAAAGAAACACGATTGAGACAGCTGCAGCTAGTACAAGTCATCAGATGAAAATACAATCATTATTAAGTGATATAAGTAGAAAGTGGACTGAGACAGCTGCAGCTAGTACAAGTCGTCAAGCGCAAATACAAACCATACCAAGTGATGTAAATAGAAAGACGATTGAAACAGCTGAAGCTAGTGCAAGTCGTCAGGCGCAAATACAATCCATACCAAAGAATGTAAACAGAAACACGTTTGAAACAGCTGCAGCTAGTACAAGTCGTCAAGCGCAAATACAAACCATACCAAGTGATGTAAATAGAAAGACGATTGAGATAGCTGAAGCAAGTGCAAGTCGTCAGGCGCAAATACAATCCATACCAAATAATGTAAGCAGAAACACGTTTGAAACAGCCGGAACTAGTAAAAGTCAGAAGCAAATACAATCCTTACCAAGTGATGTAAATGGAAAAACGATAGAAACAGCCACAGCTAGTACAAGTCGTCAGGCGCAAATACAATCCATACCAAAGAATGTAAACAGAAACATGTTTGAAACAGCTGCAGCTAGTACAAGTCGTCAGATGCAAATACACTCCATACCGAATGATGTAAGTAGACAGACGATAGAAACAGCCACAGCTAGTACAAGTCGTCAGGTGCAAATACACTCCATGCCGATTGATTTAAGTAGACAGACGATAGAAACAGCCACAGCTAGTACAAGTCGTCAAGCGCAAATACAAAACATACCAGGTGATGTAAATAGAAAGACGATTGAAACAGCTGAAGCTAGTGCAAGTCGTCAGGCGCAAATACAATCCGTACCAAATAATGTTAGAAGAAACACGTTTGAAACAGCTGGAACTAGGATAAGTCAGGTGCAAATACAATCCGTACCGAGTAGGCAGACGATTGAGAGAGCTACAGCTAGTACAAGTTGTCAAGCGCAAATGCCATCCATATCAAGTGATTTAAGTTGGAAAATGAATGAGGCAGCCTTAAATAATAAACTTCAGGCGCTTAAGGCAGGCTTAACTTGTAAAATTCAGACGCTGCACAAATCCAAACTAAATGATATAAACAAAAAGGCGATGGAGACAGCCTTTATTAGTAAATTTCAGGGGCAAACACAATATATACAAATTGATATACACGGAAAGCCTATTGATACAGTCGTAACTACGACAAGACCAAATCAATTAAAATCATTATTAACTGATGCAAAACCATTAGAGACAACTTCAATGTCTACAAATTGTTCGGATGTGCAATCCACTTCAATTGAAGTAAATAAAAAGATAAGTAGGACAACTGATATTAAAACGAGCGTAGGAGAAGAAAAATCCACTCACGATGACTTCACAACTCAGTCGCAATTATCCACAGTAAGCAATGTGCCTAATAATTATTTAGATTGTTTGTTAACAGAGTTTGGCCACACTGGTTTTCGTACCATACAATGGACAATAATCAATTCTATATTAAATGAAAGTAGAGATATTTGTGCTATTGTTGCAACAGGTTATGGAAAGTCATTAACATACCAATTTCCAGCTATTTACTCTAACAAAATTAGTCTTGTTGTCTCGCCGCTCATATCATTAATGCAGGATCAAGTCACTGCATTGAATTTAATACGTGAGCGTTCTTGTTTGCTAGGATCCGCACAAACTGACAAAACTATTGTCTCACGCGTACTAGCTTCGAATTTTAATGTTATTTACACAACACCTGAATATATTACCACCGAATTTGGTTTGAGTCTTTTGCGCTCGTTAAGTAATAAATTAGTGCTAATTGCTGTCGATGAAGCGCACTGCATCTCCGAATGGGGTCATGACTTTCGCCATAAATATCGTGAACTTAAACAGATGCGCCTTGCTGTACCACATGTACCAATACTGGCTTTAACTGCGACAGCAACATTATCAGTGCGTCAAGATATCAGTTCACAGCTAGGCTTAAGAAATCCTTTAGTTTTATGTAGTGGTTTTGACCGCCCAAATCTGGAATTTATAGTGCGTGCAAAATCAAATAGGACAGAGGATATTTGGTCTGACTTGGGGATTTATATAAGGTGGGCAGAAGAAAAACAGGGTTCTGTCATAATTTATTGTAATACTCGTCGTTATTGTGAAAAAGTCGTCACAGAGTTGCAAAAGTATATAAATTGTCGATATTATCATAGTAGTCTCACCCTCACACAGAGAAATAAAAATCATCATGACTTTTCTTCTGATGAAATACGTGTCATTGTTGCAACAATGGCTTTCGGAATGGGCATTGATAAACCTAATGTACGTTTAGTTGTTCATTACGGTATGCCCAGAAATATGGAACGCTATTATCAAGAGGTTTGTCTTGTAGTCTGTATTGTGATGTGATGTTTTAATTTTAATATTTTTGGTTTTAGGTTGGACGAGCTGGGCGTGATGGACTTCAAGCTAAATGTGTTTTATTTTATTGTAATTCAGATTTTACGACTCATCAACGTTTCGGAACTGGTTGCAGCATTCTCAAGAGTAATCATATGGAAAATCTTTTTATAAAAATGATTTCATATACGCGCATAACGACTTGTCGTCGTAAATTTATTTTAGAATATTTTGCTGACAAAACACAAACTCTACAAAATAGACGTAACTGTTGTGACAATTGTAATAGAACTATTAATGGAGTAAATTATGGAAATGTATATGATGGTTTAGATGAAGAAGGCAAATTGAATATTACACGTGATGCTGAAATATTGTTACAGCTTTTACGTGATTTGGGTGGACGTTTTGGTGTTAATAAAGTTTTACTTATATTACGTGGCTCAAATAGTAAAGTACTTTCCGCTTCATATAAGAAACATACTCTATTTGGCAAAGGTGCCGGAAAATCAGAAGCCTGGTACAAAACAGTTATTGATAATTTAAAGAGTCAAGATTTTATATATTATATAAAAAAAAACTATATGTTTGGTGTATTTAATCTGTTAAATATAACAGAGAAATCGGAAAAGTGGTTAGATACGATGCCTGAATATCGAAGTCCTATAACAATTGAACCATATGCAGAAGTTCTGAAATATCTTAAGCCAATTGCATATAGTATTAACAATAATGAAATAAATAATCATCTTACATCTCAACTCACATCTACAAAACAACCTCAAGATGAAAATATAAAAACTGAGCTAATGAAAGCTTTGCTAAGGTAAGATTAGTTTCCTGGAATAGATTCTTTAGAATATAACTTAATATAAATTAATAATATTATTTATGTTGTTTAGAATTTGTGTCAAATCAAATAAAAAACTTTTAGTTGGAGAATAAAAAGGCTGATGTGAATAAAAAATAAAAGCTTTTAATTTAATCTTATTGGTTTTCACAAGTCTTTAACAACATAAATAATACTGTTAAAATAATGAACTCGTAGCTGTTCCAATCTATTAATACCAATCTACGTTTTGATATCGTGCTCAAAGTTATTTCTCTGTCTTTGTTAGTATTGAAAAATTGCGGTACTGATGAGTTACTATGATGTAGCCCTTGTTAGAACAGATGAGCGTTATTTATATTTAGTCCTTTATACAGACATATGGCTTCAAAAAGTAGACCAGGCCGCTTCTGGAGTCCGTCCAATTAAAGTGACAATATTTTTTCAGTTTGATAAAGGCTAGCAATTAGCGTCTTACTAAACTACGGCCTTCCTTTTATGAAGACCTTTGTCAACTGCAAGATCTCCCATAAAATAGCACTTAAGCTTTGCCAAAGATTGAAGGTGGTTTTAAACCTCTGAACTTGTTCCTTAAACGCTAACACAATCGGCCGAAAAGCCTAAGTGAACCATTTTGGATCGCCGGTGTGATCTAATCTACTGTAAATGGTAGGCGACAGATATTTCTCTTACTGATTGCTATTGCAAAAAGATATTTACACTATTAAAGGATTTAGTAAAGAATTCCAATATTTATAAACCAAAAACTTACTTGTTTTTTACAACATTCATAATAATTTTTTATATTTTCTTTTATAGATTACGCATAAAATTAGCTGGTGATCTCAACGTAATGCCATACATAATTGCATCTGAAAAAGCTTTAAATAAGATTGTCGAATGTGCACCAAAAGATTTTACACAGCTCAAGGCTTGTAAATTAGATGGATTTTACGAAGCCAAATATGATCGTTTTGGATTTGAAATATTGGAATGCGTTAGAAAATTCACTGACAACGAACAGATTAATATGAATTTAAATGAAAAAGCGATTAATGTCGATGATGAAAAACTTGTGGAATGTGAAATAAATACTAAAGAGAAACCTCTTGATATAGACAGTTTTGTAACCCCTCCTTTAACTATGCAGCAAACTTCAGCACAACTCAATGAAAATATTATACATAAAAATAGTTTCAAAAATGAAGATCTCGAAACTATATATCTAACAAAAAGTGATGCTGCATTAGTTTGTGAAACTATTATTAAAGAAGAACCTCTGTTACAGGAGGTTTGTGACATTAAAACAGAATCTTTTAATAAAACGCAAACTTCAACACAATTTAATAAAATTGTCACGACTCATGATAATAATTCCAAAAATAAAATTCAAAACATAGTTTTACCTGACAGTATACATACTTCACTAATTAATGAAAGTATTATTAAAAAAGAACCTAAAGACATTTGTGACATTAACACGGAGATTTTTACTATGTCACAATCTCCGGTTATGAATAATGAAAATGACTTAGCGCAAAATAATAAATCCAAAATGAAACGAAAAAAATCTATTGATCTTTGGAGTAGTGATGAGAATATTGATGATGATTTAATACAAGTAAGTTCGACAGCGGAAAAGGAAACTCAAGACTTTTGTGACATTAAAACGGAGATTTTTACTATGTCACAATCTCCAGTCATGAATAATGAAAATGACATAGCGCAAAATTATAATTCCAAAATGAAACGAAAGAACTCTCGAGATCTTTGGAGTAGTGATGAGAATATTGATGATGATTTAATACAAGCAAGTTCGACAGCGGAAAAGGAAACTCAAGAGTTTTGTGACATTAAAACGGAGATTTTTACTATGTCACAATCTCCAGTCATAAATAATGAAAATGACATAGCGCAAAATTATAATTCCAAAATGAAACGAAAGAAATCTATTGATCTTTGGAGTAGTGATGAGAATATTGATGATGATTTAATACACGCAAGTGCGACAGCGGAAAAACAATTATGTTGTTTAAAGGAGGATGAAACTGACTGTGAATTAGATTTACTTATAAATGATTTAGTAGAAATAAGAAATAATGTGAAAAGTGCAAAAATTTCTGAAGCAAACAAACCAAAATTACTTCCAATTAATAAGCGAAAAGAGATTGTGTACATTGATTGCACTAGTTCAGAAGATGAAGAACATAATGTGGTAAAGCCAATAAACAATTCAAATCCCTCATCTGGAAAAAAACGTATATTGCCTTCATGGATGTTAGAGAAGTGATTTGATTCCATAATGTCACTTAGACCTAATGGCCCATTGTGTTACCGTATATTAAATGCATGTTAGACTATTTATGTAATATATAGTCAACTATTCGAATTTATTGTTGTTATATGTAAATGAAATTATTATATATTTTTACTTATGAAGTTTTCTAAAATTTGTAACTGTTATAAAGAATTAAAAATTCAAGAATATTTTAAAATAATATTTTTAATATTTCATTGGTTTTAGTGAACTTAAAGTTCTTAAAATATAGTTAAATTATATTCAAACTATATGGTTGATAAAAGAGACTATTTTTGGGGATAAGATTAGTTCCTAAAGGATTAGTTGTTGTTGTTGTTTATATATTGCAGGAAACAACAAAGCAATTACAACTACCACTACATGGGTTAGGACATGGACTAGACGAGGTTAATTGAAAAGAATAGGTTTTGTTAGAGATAATGAAAGGATGAGGGGTGGATGGGATTTAAATAAAAGTTGCCTGTGTCGATGTAAAAAAATCTCAACACTTTAGTGTGCCGGATTCAGAGATTTATAGGGCTCAATTTGTTGTGTGCATTGGAACATTAGAACAGATGCACGACATCGGAGGATAGAGCTGCAGTTAAATAGAAATACATCAGTTACACATATTAGGGATTAATGTTTTTTTGCGATAAAAGTAACTGTTAAGTATATCGCTGTGATGGTTTTTGCTCTATGAGAAATGTGTCCTTCTTCTTTGGAGATATTAGGTGCAAGGTTTATTAAATGTTAAGCAACCATAATCTCGATGGAGATACTACATCTGTGTCGACGGCTGTTAGTCTAGATTTGTATTCGACTTTGCTGATGTGTACTTCATTGTTAAAAGTGTCCATGTAAAGAAAGAAGGTTTTACGGAGCATATTGCCATTTGTATGTCCATCTGTATAGTACACAAGTACATATTGCTAGACCAGTAGTTGATTATACTCGTTTAAGATTAATAGACAGGTTTTAAAAGTGGAATGGCTTTGTCTTAGCAGGCGTCCAGTTGTTTTTTGTTCCCTTTGCATTTTTAATATAATAATATAAAGAAATAAAAATTTTTAATATTAAACAAAAGATATAACCTCCTGTTTCGTCAGGTAGATATGTTCATCAGAAATTCGTATAAAAACCTTTTAAAAATATAAATATAAGAAGAATTATTAATGATACGCTCCATTTTTTCAGAGGATTTGTTATTTTGGTTACAAATGCGTACCATTTTTCAATAAGTTGTTGAGTGGTATAACAGAATATACATCCCGTCTGTATTGTTCAGTTTTTATCATCACTCCGTAACTAAAGATTTTTGTCGTTCTTTCGTCAAAAAGAAGTCCTTCTGATGGGGTTTCCTGTACAACAAAAGGTGGCAACATAACGCTTTATTGGGATACTAACTCTTTGAGCAATTTTGTGTACTCGAAATTGATTATCCGCTGTACAGTTCTGATTTGGTATCCAATAATTTTTTTTTTTGGCCAAACATTATGGACAAACGATATGAAGAACATATGTTTTGGAACGTGTTAAAGTGTCCAGATTTTTATTGTCTTAAAATAAAATCTAATAATTGATTGAGACAATATTTTTCAAATCAGAACCTTTCATTCATATGCCTTTTAAACGACCTTTTTTCCACATTCAGGTTAAAAAAATAAATAACAGGTCTTAGCTGTTAACACTTTATAAGTGAGTTCTAGCACTGTCGACTCGGATAGCTTAGCACAGATTAAATCTTTCATTTATATGTGAAGACAGCCCCTGGCGGTGCAGGTTTTAAAATTTATTGAAGCAATTCATGATCTTTTACGATATAGAGTTTGAAAACGAAACGCATTGTCAAATACAATATAAAGTATCTCATAAATTGTTTCTTATAGAAATGGGATACGTGTTGAAACTCTAACTAAGAAGATGATAGGTATTAATTTATTAAATCGGTAATGACTACTAATCTCAATAGAGAGCATCTCATAAATCTTTCTCTGAATAGGTGAAATAAGTGTTGACGTTTGATATCTTAAAAACGTAATAGATAGATGCGCACACTAATTGAGAAGTGCACTTTCTCAAATCAAATGCAATATATATTCCGTCAGGAAGATATGCTGGGACTCGAAGTATACTTATATAAAATCATCTGAATAACTTATTATGAGAATTTAACGTAGCTCTTAAGACAGTGAATCATCTAAGAGGTCACAGACACTTTTTAGTAAAATTGCTTTAGACACTATCTCATCTTTAATCAAGAAAAGAAAAGTAGTGATAGTTTATAATGGTTGATATTTTTTTGTAATGTAATATTAATTGTAATGTTATATTAAGAGAAGCATTTGGTTTATAAAATAAAGGTCAGTCAAGAATATATCGAATATATATATATTACGATAACTATTATTGTCTTGTTTTCGGATTTACTTCTGACTTTTGTTTTACAATTAAAATGTTTAAGATAAAAAACAGAGTCCGAGCATGATCCAATTTTTCGGAAGCCGCGATTTCATAATGGATGTTGGTCAATTTTACTATTCCAAATAAGTGTTGGTGTTTTGGTCACTTGGATGTATACTGATGTAATTCGGTTCTCGAGATATCGGATGTTAAAGTTGTAAACTTTTTACATTGATTAAACTTATAAAATCACACACTCCATTTAATTGTATGTGGCTATGTAGTTGTTATTGGTGGTGCAATATAAATTTGCAATCTCAAAATGCTATGACTATGGAACTAAGCTATATCGTTATAAAGCACAATGAAAAAAGTTTACACAAAATCTAATTGAATTGACAAATCTGACAGAAATCTAACAGAATTGTCGAATTCTGAGTGCCCGGGAATTTGGAAACCTGTCTCAAATCCTTTTCACTTTCTATAGTAATTTCAAAAGTAATTGTACAAATCTAGATTTGAATAAAACACTGCCTATATCCTGTTAGTAATGATTTGGTTGCTAATTAAATTGGATTAAAATTGAATTAGTAATGCGTTACGAGGACGTTTATATGCAAAGCAAAATGATTTACAAGCAAACATTTATTAATGAGTATAATAGAATATTGCGCTAAAAATACTGTCATCAATTTATTAATTTTAATTATCAGTTCAGCTCATAGCCGTCAGTGTTGTTTTGCCGGACGGGCTGGCCCGTTGGTCAACTCGCACCTTTGTGTTACTATCTTTTACTATTGTTATTGTTTACCGATTTGATTAGCGATATTATTGCATTAAAATTTGATGGGTGCTCTGGCTCTCTTCGGCTTATCTAGTTTGTGTTGAGCTGGAGACAAAAACTGTTGAGTGTTAGCGGACAATGTACGACAAGGTGTGTGATTGGCAATTATCGCTTCTATCTAAAATATTTAAATGAAAGATTCTAAATTTTCGCTGTTATTCGGTTTGTCATTTAAAGTTAAACTCTTGTGTGAAGACGTTATAAAATATTAATTCTTAAACATTGACGCAAAACTGGCAACGAAATAATCATTTCTTTTTAAACATACTACTCTTAAAGCAGTATGATTTATGGTTGGTACATAATATTTTTCATATGCTTTGCTATAATAACAGTAGTAAATGGAGTCATACGACCGAGTGGTTCTTTATATCTTATGGACGATGAAGGTTTCATAACGTATCTGGAAGTACCTAAGAGTTTTGGTACAGTAAAAAATTGTTGGTTTAAATTTCGAGGTAATAAAAATATATATATGTCGTGAAAATACTAATTAAAATGCTTAATAAAATAAAAAATTCAAATAAGCGAAATATGTGTCTTCTCGTTGATTATCACTTTCGCAGATGATGACAAAATAAATATTGAATTAAATGCTACCGCTCCAATAACAACGAGTCGTAATGAGATTGTGCTGCCTTTCTCGTCGACCATTTGCGGTATACGTGTTAATAATATATCAAGTGCATCTGCAGCGGTATGGACGTTAGAAGCTGAAAATATCTATGGTGATTTTGAACAGGACTCAGTTAATGTCCAAATTTTACCTGCACAAAAAACACGTTTCGACACACATATACAGCGTGAACTCGGCAAAGGTAGTATTGCATGTACTAAGCATGACTCCTATACAAAACATTGTAAGATCGTCGATAAACAGAGCAACGAATCATGGAATCAGTGTGAAGTGTATACAACAATACGTCCTAATATATCCTTTGAGTGTTTGACCTATAATTGGGGTCGCATGCAGGAGAGCTATGAACATATTTTTGTTGAAACTAAGGAGCGTACCGTTTATACAACTGCCAGCATGGAGGATAATAACAACACAAGTGTAATATTGCGTTGTCAGTTTTCAGACACTTTGCAATCCTGTCAGGCAGAGATGCCTGATCATAAAAATGAAATATACATAATGGATGGAATGTACAATGGAAGATATTCAACATATGATACATTGTGAGTATAAATATCAAAAAGAATGTCTGTAGTAGATTAGATTAGATTTTAACCGGTTTGGGAACTTGTCACCAAGTCATTGCATCCTTTTAGGGTTATTGTGACAAACCCACTTTAGTTTCATAGACGAGTAACAGTTAAAAACGCTGAGAGAGAGATGTTGCCTAATTTCGTTATAAATGGATAGGCAGTGGATAAGTATCGGACCACATTCTAACAAGTTTCGCTATGGATAGGTCGATGATATTCTAGAAATTGTATTCTTTAACTTGAACTTTATACTTAATCGTACAATTAAAAATATATTTCAGATAATTGAGAAAGACTTCCAGTCTTCTGTTTCTCTACTAAGAATTATCTGAATTAAAAAAAAATCAGAACTACATTACATGTAGTTGTTAGTTAGTAAAGATGATTCCAACTTTTATTTTGATCTAACCATTACAACTGTAAGTAAATAGTATTCTGAGAACTTTTAACCTATTTGCTGACTTTAGATTGAATTTCTCTAATATCTCTAAATAATTTCTCTTATAAAATATTATATGTATATATAAATTTTAGAATATC